TCCCCTTTTCTGTGTTTCTTCTTTTTGGTGGCCAAGATTGTTTTTATTAGCAGTCCTCTGCTTCTGGCAACAAATCCTTGCTAGGAAATATTTCAAAGTTCTACATAGCATGTTTCCCACTGCTCACACACATGGATGATGTTCCTCCCATCTCTTTTTTTTAACTTACATGAAGAACATACATGTGAGAGAATGCAAACAAGCCCTTACTGCAGCTCTGAATATCATTTCCCTACCTGACCTCTGTAATTTGTGTTCTGCCTCAGCTTCCCAACCCTTGGGAAGTTGGATAGAAGGATAGAAGCAGAAGGATATCACTACTGGCTGCATATCTTCCTCTTCCATCCTTTTCTATGGTCCGCATCTCCCCATCTCTGTCTTGTGAAGCATGAGGACTATTTCCCTCTGCTACTACTGAGTGAAGTGGGGAAAAAAAGGCTCAGATTTTGTTATTATGTCCTTACTGAGTGGAAACTGTCCCACTGTTACTTGGGTCTTGGGAATAGAGATATTTTTTCCTTCGTCTCCCTGGAAATGCCTAGATTCCTGATAGAAATGCAGATGGATGTAGATGGACTTACTTCAAATATTTATAAGGGCAAAAGAGAACAGAAAGAAGAATTGGAAGAGCCAGCACAAATACCTAGTTACAGAAGGGCAACCATCCTCCTTTCCCCGAGGCAAGACAGACCCAGCAAGAACAGGAAACACCCACCCTGATGATGGCATCATGTGGTTTCCAGGTCTCAGGGTTTGATTTTTTTTTGGAGTGCGAAAACTCTCTTGCTTTCCTCTCTTCTCCCTTTATTTATCACACCAAGTCCTTTGCAAAGGAGGGCTTCTTTTGCTCTATTCCTCTTACAATGCCTGGCTTTTTAGGTTATTTTTCAGTCTCTGTTAACACAGTTGGCTTCTGATTAGACTTTCTGTTGTAGGTGTTGCTGATAAAATTTCAGCAGGCACACAGACTGAGCTCTACATGTATATTAAACCAGATGCCACTCACTGGCTGGGTTTTTTGGTTGTTGTTTTAGTTTTTCCTCTTTGCTATATAAATGTGAGATCATAAGTAATAGAGAAAGAAGATAGAGGTATTTCTTGGAAGACAGAGGAGAAAAAAAGCATGTACTCTCTATTGCATTGCTTACAAGGACTGTGTTTTATTATTGTTTATTTAATGGGGGGAAAGAAGGCAAAAAAATAAAAAAAAAAGCTTTGCACATACCACACTCTACAAACCACACTCTACAATTTTATGAGATCCACATCTGGAATCCAGAGCATCTCAGGAATCAATCTATCAGACCCTAGTCAATTGTAATAATGCACCTGGGGTGAAATTCTGGCTCCATTAAAGTCAGCTGGAACTTTGCCATTGCAATGCAAAAAGTGATGGCTGATGTAGGCTACTCCACATTAACTCTCAGGCAGAGTGAGATGGTCTATAAGTTGCCAATATTTCCAGATTTGGCATAACATTCAGGAAAAAAACACCGTCAATCCCATGTCTCTGTACAGAGAGAAAAAGTAAGAGTTACAATGAGGTCATAGTGCTTGTACATTTGGCTGCTACTAAAATAAATAGCCTAAGTGTTCATGAACTTTTTTTCATAGGTAGAGGCTTTTAGGATTAAACAGAAATATTATTTGTTGTGCCTCAAGGTCAACATATATATTTTTTTGTGTGTGTGTGTATGTAAGCCATCCAAAATCCTGCTTATAAATATCTATTTTGTTGTGCTTTTTCTCATCCTTCCACTGGAAATGCATTTCCAACTGTAAATAGTATATTCCCATTACCTACCCATCAGTCAAATCAACTCATTTCTGAAATTCAATTAAAAGGGTCTCATTGCCATAAATCGAAAAAGATATTTTATTGTTACTTTGTAATTTGGAAGAATGAAAATTAAAACAGTAGCTCTGATGGAAAGAAATGGCTACTAAATCATAATGATATTTTGCAGTTTATCTGCTCATTGCTATTTTATTTCAGCTATTTCAGAATAGAAGGACGATGAAGTGACTTGCACACTCTATACCAGTTTTATTTATTTTTTTGGCTACTCTAAGCACTTGTCTAAATCTTTTTTATGATTGTTTATCTAAGTTTCTCCCAAATGTTTCATCAATTGCTATCCCTGTTCTTTTATTCCATATGTTAACTGCTTCCTGTGT